TCTCTCCTAAATGAATGAATAAAAATGATTTTACAATATTGTGGGCATGGACAATAATGTAATAAAACCAAGAACCAAAAACTATAATAACTAACAATTACCATCAGTGAGTGGAGGTTACATATGATGTAACAGAATGCTGTGATATTTCAAGAAATAAAATTATCTTAATAATCTAGTATATCATGAAAAATAAAACTTCTGATTTTTTTATGGGGGGAGGGAGGGTAATCCAACTGGATTATAAAGTAGTCTTAGCTAATAAATAAAAATATTTAACCAAAGACTCGAGTCAATTTTACTAACTCCTGCTTCCTACTAGAGTACCATGTTTGGAACATAGCAGATAACCTGGAAAATACTCCTCAGAAATATCATTTGAACTCTGTCTAGAATAGCCATGTGGTTACAGTCCTAGTGCACGGGCTTTACCTACAAATAACTACAGTGGTCTAAACTGTGCTCTTCAAGCAAAATGGTAAGCTTTGATGCTGGGGCTGATTTCTGTGTGTTTTAAGATACACCATTTTGGCTTTCGAAGGCTTGAAAAGCCATCCCTAAATATTTAAAGGTTTTAACCCATTCAGTGGTATGTCCAGCTAACTGTCAGGGTAGGAGCCTTTTTTGATGATTAGAGAAGGTTTTGGTCTTGGAAAAATGTATTATTAATTCCTTCTAATTGTAGTTAGGAAGGATTGAATAGAAAGCTCCTTTAAGGCCAACAGGTGTCAAACACAAAATTGCAGTATCATTGGCAGCCAGCAATGAATTAATATGTCTGTGGCCTAATTTAGGAGAATGGAACCTGCTTAAATACGGCACCAAAGAATGTGAATAATAATTAAAACTAGAACAAAACATCCATGTCTACCTCCTCTCCTTACAGGTATTTCTTTAACAACTTGTCCATTATTACCACATCTGACTTTCAGTCTCAGGTCCTCATGAATTTTAAATAAAGCAACCAACATTTATCTATAAATACATACATTCTCTTCTACTGAAACATTTATCTATCAATTTTTAAATTTGTACCATAGTTTAGTTCTGCAGACTGTATCAAATGCAGGCCTAAAATCAATGAAAACTGCAGAAAGGAATGAGATAGACTTTTCTGTATGATGCTGTCACACCATAGCATGATCTAAAGTAGAGTGGCCTGCCCTAAACCCAGCCTGTTCATCCATCAGGACAGATGGATGGCAAAGGAGGAAAAATTAGTACGTTCTGAAATGCAGCCCTTATCAATGCTTTGGTTGTAGCATTTAGCATCAGTTGCATTTGATAAAGAATATATTATGTTTTATAGATCCTTGATTCAGGAAATGGAGATATCTTATAAACTGGTATGATTTAAGCAGAAGAAGAGAAACCTTCATTATCAGCTCAGAAAATAATGAAAGGATGATGAGAAGAAGGACAATAAAACCACCCTGCTGCTGATGACTAGGAACAGCGTTGTAGAAAGGGAAACTTTTTTCCTTCCCACCATTCCATACCCCAATATGGTGTTTAGACCAATACAATAATGATCAATTGATAACTGTATCTACCATACTACTCTGTGTAAATGTAAAGGATGTATATATTCTAAGTGGCACCCAATAAAGGCAGCTGAAGTAGAAAACAATTGTATACTTCAAACAATTTTTTTTCCTCAATGCTCCTTTACTTAATCAAATGTGAGCTTTACAAATATTTTCCTCTGCTTTTACGTCAGTTACATTTGTCCAAAGAATTAAAAGAGAAGAACACACACACACACGCACACACACAGAGGCAACACATTGTAACCACTCTGATTAGACCCTTGCATGCAGACACAAATACAGGCAACATTCGTGCACAAACAGATTAGTTTCTTGGGAGAAAGTATCTGTACACACAGACATGCAAGATGTTATTTCTTTACATGGAAAAAACTACAGATTGCCTTCTATAGCCTGCTTTGTATGCTTTCCCTACTTCTCATTCATCTTCAATTCCTTTGCCCATAAACTTCTACTGCCTAGGAATCCTACTTATTTTTGCTCTGAAATTATAAAATCCTTTCTGAATCCATATATGCCTGTTATAACATTCAGTTTTGGTTTTCCTTAAATCAATAGCAATGGGACTTTGCATGAAACCATACTATATGATATTGAAACCCTATATATGTTCCACCTTTTTCACTGCCTGCAATAGCACAAAGACAGAGACAAATGGCCAGGCAGCCTATTTCTACGTCTGTGTGACTAAGTCTTTTGCTTCAGCCCTATTCCACTTGTCAGGGAATAACCTCCAAGAAAGTCTTTTGCTTCAGCCCTATTCCACTTGTCAGGGAATAACCTCCAAGAAACTTAGGGCCTGCATGAGCCATAGTAAGCCAGCTGGCTGAGATGGGACACTGAGAGGGGAGGTAATGAACCATACATGCCCATTTGTTGTCCACAGAGCCACCACTATAATTGTGCCCACAAGTTTGCAGCTGACCAATCAAAATTGCTGCAGTAGAATTTCAAGAAAGTGATGTTCTTTGGGATGCATTGATGTGACCCTAAAAAGCACCTATCACAGTAACAGCAAATAACGTTTACAGTTATAGTAAACTTGAAATGTGCAGCAAAATGGCCAAATAGTAGTGGTCTCTAAGGATACTCAAGCTGTAGTACAGGTAGCCCCAGTTGAACAACGAGTTCCATTCCCAAGGTCTGCCCTTAAGTTGAATGTGTATGTAAGCTGGAACAGCTTTATTGTATAATACTGTATAAGTAGTACTGGTAATGAACTCAAACCACTGTGTATTTAACTTGAATTTTGCCACAATAGGCTCTGTTCTTAACTATGGGTCGTCTGCAAACCGGGCGTCCTTAACACGGGGACTACCTGTACTAATGAAGAGCAGGAGGAACTTAGAAAGCTGCCCCAAAGACAGAAGAGGAAATTATTTTTAAAAACATGCAAGGTGCAGGCCAGAAGGCAGAACAACTTGCCCTAGGAGGACTTACTTAAGAGCAGATATAAACAATAGTGTTTGTCTCTCTGGGCCTAATAAATAAAAGCAATAGTGTTTCTCTCTCTCTCTCTCTCTCTCTCTCTCTCTCTCTCTCTCAATTGTAGTTATACATACAACAATCAGATAAGATCCTTGCAGAAAGAGAATGAGGCACCATCTGAGGCACAAGATTTGCTCTGAAAATAACCAACTGATCCAACAGCACCTTTTGCTATTTGATTTTCTTCAAATTTCTTTACTCAAAGTGAAGTCATAAAAGAACATCATGTCTAAGCCTTGCTTTTTTCGCTGAACTTATAAGACCAAGTTCAATGTGTATTTTAATCAATTGATCTAGCCAATTTAAAAATTATTTCCTATACTGACAAAAGATTCCAGTATCTCAAAATTCTGTCTAAACCATTGACACATCTGTCAATAAATGTTGATGAATGTCAACCACATACCAGCAAGAAACCAATGGAAACTATCTGCATGTTCCAAACAGATGTTACTGGTTCTTGACAGTACAAATTTGCATTTGAATGAACCCGCTGAGCTAAAACCACCACTGTATAGTTAAAACAGTATAGTTGTGACAATGGACATAAAAGTGTACCAGTCAGTGTATCTCACAGAATCACAGAATGTGAGGGTTGGAAGGGACGTAATCCAACATCCCACCCAGTGAAGGAATTTATTACGACAACAGTGGATTTATACCAGTTGGAGTGAAAACAAATATTACATTGTTACATATTCAACTAACACTTTCAAAAAGTTTCTGACTGAAATATTGATCCAATGCATACATTTCTAAAGGTAAATTGCCCCTACTGGCCACAGTCTATTCAGTTAGGTCCTCCTTAGGTTTCATCCATAAGATTCCCAGGAGAAAAAATCTGCATCCTCACAGAACTTGTCCGCCCCATAATCTCACTCCCAACAATTCCCTCTGTGTGTTGCTTTCCTCCAGCAGCTGCTTTCTAAGATGGGGTTTTCAAACATTTTCAGGCCACAGAATCCGTTAGTTTTAAAAAAGAAAAAGAAAGAAAAAACCTGATCAAGAAGCAAAATTCTAGTGATAGAATATTGGATGCATCTGAAAGAACTTTTTTTTTTTGCACTTAATCTCTCACAGAACCCCATCAAGTTCTCACAGAACTGAAGGGTTCCACAGAATGTAGTTTGAAAACCTCATCCCGAGCAACCCAGAGGCTGAGTCTGCACACTCTGCTGGATTAGGCAGGGAAGAGTTGTTTCTGGTACAGCAGGTGATGGGAATCAAGCCCTTGGGTTAGCAGGTTGTATGAACCAGGCCATTGGATTGAGCTGAATAGAGTTATTTCTTGGGGCACAGCATGTTATGAGGACACAAGAATGGGGTTTTATTAACTTGGATTTAGGGGTTTTTACTTTATGTGAACTGAGCCAAGGAATACTAAATAAATACATAAATAAGAACAGAGCTGCATTGGGAGTAGAATAGAATGGAGGCTCTTGAGATAATGGGGCCAACTGGAATCCTACCAAATCTCTCTGTCCTTTCAAAGGTTGGGCTCCTTTTCACACTTACATCCTTTCCTGCTGCCAAGGTTCTGGTCTTCTACAATTAGTTGGAGCAGAATTAAAACTGCTTCAAAATGGCATTTAACTAACATGTACAATAATCTTGCCAAGTTTACAGGTGAATTCTGCCTGCTCAATTCAGTGAGACTTGCTTTCAAAAAATATTCTGGTTTATGACATTTAAATGCTTTCTTACTTTATTTTAAATGGTCTCTCAGGATCTCTTATTAGGATCCCAACTACTTTCCCAATAATTCCAGCTATACTTTACTGAGTAGGCTCTCTAACTAGCCATTCCTTGTTGCCTGCCCTTAAGCCTTTTAATTTCTCATTTCAGAATGAACCTGAAGCTTAGGTTGGCAGCAGGAGATGAAGAGTTGTGGGTGAAGTGAACCAATGAAGGAGAAAAAGCAAAGGAAAGAAAAAGGGGGGCTGAAGCCCTTCTTTCCCATACCTTCATCACGCTTCCTCTTCTCACCATTCGACCGAGGAATCCCCAGAATCCCATTAATGGAGTAGGAGCCCACTGGATCATTGGAGGCACTGGAGACAGGAGGGGATGCTGTACTGGGAACTGGACAAAATGAAAAGGGAAGAAGGCTCAGAAGAGCAGGAGCCAGCAGCCAGCAAGTGACATATACCCCCAGCCTCACCTGAAGACTTTGCCAAAAGACTAGTTCCAGTTAAGGCCGAGATCCAAAAATATATGCTTAAGAGCGTCACCATTTGTGAATCTCTTTAAAAAATGTCTCTATGCTTTTCATAGCCTATCTTAATATTTTCAAGTCTAACTAGAATTTGGTGATGGGAAACTGCAATTTCAGATTAACACACATTTCTGGCTGTATTTTGGGGTTCGAGACTATTGTGAGGAAGAAATTAAAAAGAATAAAGCACTGGAATCTGTGGAATTAAAACTCTGCTATATGAGGAAAGCAGCAACTTTTAAAATTATGACATAAACATCTGTACTCCATAATGCAGAAGACTGTTATTTACAATTGGAATGGCTTGTTTTTGTGTTATGGCCTTTTACAAGATGCATCTTGCTGATGATAGCAGGAGTTGAGGGTTAATCTTGTAGATGTTGTTGTTGTTGTTGTTATTCCAACCTCTTCTTATATTTTATTTTATTTTTCTATAAGTGCTTTTCCTCTTTCCCCCATAATTAGAAGACTATTATCTATTGAAGTCCTGCTTATCTTCTAAATGTGATGTCATTGAGGGTGTTATAGTTGTACAATCGCTGCAGAGGAACAAATAGGCTTCCAAATCCATGTTTGCCTGGGTATCCTATGTGGGTGCTGCAGCTGGAGCAGAAATCTGGCAGCTCTTTCCTTACTATACCTTACAGTTTCCCACATATCTTTACCTCCCTACTGGCTATTTTTCTCTCATCCCCAGTTCTAGATAGATAGATAGATAGGTAGGTAGGTAGGTAGGTAGGTAGGTAGGTAGATAGATAGATAGATAGATAGATAGATAGATAGATAGATAGATAGATAGATAGATAGATAGAGACAGACAGACAGACAGACAGACAGACAGACAGACAGACAGACAGAGCGTATAGAGTTATATTTGGCACAGGAGATATATACTCTATACTAAAAAAAAAGCATAGGGGCCATTTGGAGGCCAAAAACTGTGGTAGAGCATGCGTGTACATGTACTTGCTCCCTATTCCTATAATTGGCTTTGTACTGTAGTTTCCCCTGTAATATTATAGTCCATTTATTGTAATGGACTTCTTTTTCAGGCAAATGTTAGAAATGAAATGCTATTTAGGGAATCCTAAATTAATCTATCAAATCTTCTGAGGTTTTTGCAAAAACTATGCCATACATATCAGAGGAGAATATTAGATCTCTCTCTCTCTCTCAATTTTTATTTTCTTTTGTTTTGATTCCCTGACAGTCCATTTCCACTCTTTCTGACATCCTTTCCTCTTTCTCCCAAGCAGCTTCAGTGACAGGATATAGGGGTCTTCTTTCCAGGGTCTCAATCTCTCTCTTGCACAGGGTAGCACAAAATTAGCTTGAGAACTGCAGTTTGCTCAACCCAGTGCTGATCAGCCATTCTTTTTTTGGAATTAGAGATCTTCCTACAGAAACATGAATCTTATCTCTCCTTTTAATATGCATAATAAGACTAGTGTGTGGTCTAGTGCCACTCCACATTTTCTCTTACGTATAGTGACAACACAATTCTGTGTATTTTGGTTTTGAGTAGCTTGTTATCTGTGCTTCTTTTATTTATATTCTCACAGATATTAAAATCTACACAGAACATTATTTTTATAGTACAAGAGTATAGATACAGGATAAGCACTTAAAATTTTACTAGTGTCATACTTTTAGTTAGTGAAAATTAGGAAATAGGATTTTAAATGAATTGCACTTGAAATTCTATAGGAAGCAAAATTGGATCTTCCCTCTGCCCCCCATCCCTCACTACCTGTGGAAAATTACAGTATATAGGCTTCAGTTCACATTTTGACCGGCACAGGATGCAAATAATGTATTAAACCAATGTGGTAAGCTATGCGTTAGTTGCCAATAAGTTTCCAGGTACTGTTTAAAGTGCTACTTTGACCTACTAAGCATTGAGGTACCTTTGGGACCATATTCTTCAAATGGAATTGATCTATATTCCAATTGGAGAATATACTGGTGGTCAGTCACTTCCATTAAGTAAAAGGAGCTGCAACTAGGAAAAGATGTTTCCTCTACTATGGGATGCTGTATCTCATGAGGTTAGCACCTTCTGGAAGATGGTGAGAGCTCTTCTAGAGGGCTTTTAGTTTGACTTAATTAGGACAATGACATTATATGATTGTTTTTAGATGTTGCTCTAGGTATTTTAATGTATGTCTGTGTATGTTATTTATTATTACTATTTATTTTATTGTGGAGATATTATAAGCTGTTTACTATATATGTTTCAGGTTGAAATGTATTGTGTACCGCCAAGAATCTTTTGACTATGGCAGCACTAAAACCGACTGACTGACTAAAATTAACCAATCCAGAATTTATAGCTTGTTTTTGTTTTCTTAGAATCACAGTTGGACAGGATCTCAGAGGAAATCTAGTTTAATCAGTAGCTCATTACAGGATTGCAAAGCATTTTGGATGCATATCCAACCACCTGGTGAGGCAAACTATGCCACTGGTTGGCAGCTCTTACTGTCAGGAAATTCCTCTTCCTATCTACTTCCTTATAGTATCTACTCATCACTTCAGATCCCACGGGACAAGAGAACAAATCCACTCCTTTCCTTATACAGTATGACCTTTTTTAGACTGCACTCTCCAAAACTGGACACAATATTCCAAGAACGGCCTGAACAAGGCAGAACAAGGGACAATTATTTCCCATGATTTGGAGTCTAGGTCCAATTAATATAGCCCACAATAGCATTTGCCTTGTGAACACTTGCATCACACCTGTGAACCGCTAAGGTATCTAGATCTTTTTCAGATATACTGTCTTCTCTAACAGGAGGAAGAAACTGTCATATTTTGAAAATAATCCTTATGCAACTTTCTGAACAAATTTGGCCTTTCTTCCCTGAGCTAACTTTTAGGCGCTAGTTAGTTAGTTTCTGGGAAGCTTAAAACAGATTGAGTTTGGTTATTATTTTAGTTTTAAATAGATTGAGGAAAGTGGTTTCTCTTCTCTTTTTGTGCATATTCCCTTTGTATCCTTCATGAATATATATTTTTTCTTTTGGACATTAAATTGAAGTTACTTGTGCACATTGTGACCTGTGCATATTCACTGACTAATCGGAATTTATAGCTCACTTTATCAAATGCTTTGCTGAAATGAAAATATGCTATACTTACAATATTCCCATAATTTACTAAGGAAATTATCAAATAAAAAAATAAAAGAAGTTTAGTCAGCAGAATTTGCTCTTGACAAACCCATGCTACCTTTTAGTGATTACTGCATTGTTTCCAAAGTGCATGTAAATTGATTGCTTTATGATATGCTCTAGAATCTTTCTAGAAACTGATGTCAAATTGACTAATCTGCAATTTCCTTGATCTTTTTTACTCTTTTTAAAGATACCTCATATTCTCTCCTCTGGTCATCTTATATTTCATTGCTTCTCCGGGATTTCTCAAAATTAAAAGATAAAGGTAAGCCGGATCATTAACTAGTTGATATCTGGCTCTATCCTCTTGTTCAGAGCATGGTTGCAATGTGACATACTGTTTTTATATCTGCCTAGTCTGTAGAAGCAGCCAAGCTTTGCCTTGACAAAGTGGTTCTTGCTATCATTTTCTTCTAACCCCAAAAGTAATATGAAACAAGCAAATCAAGAACTTTGCATCAACCTTAAGAAGCAGCATCCCTTCATAAAGCAGTTTTGAAAGGCCTGCTTCACCTTGGATGATGCAAAGCATTTCTTCAAAGCTTCACACAGCCCTAATATCAAACTATCTCCGATATGGGGCCAAGAGCTACTGCCATTAGTAGGGCCTCTTACAAATTTTGCCTAAGAATACTATCAACCTGTCAACTTGTCAACCAATCCTGACAAGGATCATTCTGATTTGAGGTCATTGAATCTAATTGTCCTAATCCCTCTCACTTCTCTATCCACCATGGGGGGCAGGGGGCAGGTTCAGTCAGTCCTTGCAGCTTCTGGAAAAATGGATCAGGACTAAACCTATTTTTATTTTTAAAAAGAATACAAATTTAACACCTTGTTAGGATGAAAACTGTACAATTTCAGGAAAAGGTGTTGTAGATCCTTTTAAAATATGATTTGGGGGGAGGGAGGGATTGCAATTCAGCCTTGCAACTTTCCACAACAGACCATCTCATGTCATCACTGGAAGAGACAGCCCCATCATTTTTCAATGTATTTTTCCTGGGTTTTCTTGGAGTGTGGAAGGGTTAATGTATAAAAGTGGAAGGCCTCTGAAGGGCACACTCTTTAATCTCAAAAAAACCAAAATGCATCCAAAGTTCGGACCATTTGGGTTATATAAATGCTGGGATGGATCAGTTTGCCTCCCAAACATCTTTTCCTCTTCCTCCTATTTATAATTCATTTCAAAGGCACAAATAGCAGGCCCAGAATGGTCCCAAATGGCAGTTTGAGGACTTAAAGAGGCAATTGGGGTTTAAGTCTGAAGATGGAAGCTATCTCCCACGGGTCTCATGCTCCCAGTCCCACAATGTTGGAAAAAACCAAAGGCAAAGCTCAGCCATTTTGCTGCCAAATTTCAGTGACAGAGGCTCAGAGGAGGCATAAAGGGGGTGCTGGGAGAACATGTGCAGCTCATGAATTGCCTGCCTCTGATCTATGAGATCAGGCCTCTTTGTCCTGCCAGGCTGAACCATCCCATTAGGCCTTCACAAAACAGCAAGGAATAAAAGATGACTGCTCAGCAAACAGGATGCAGAACAGTTTTTCTCTGTGGGTTCTCCCACACTCTTACTAAGACCACCAATACTGTAATAACAAAATGGGGTATCAAGGCCTAGGAAGTCTGCAAAATATAAATGCATAGAGAATAAATAGAATATGTAAATAAAAACGTATAGAATTGA